GTATAATGAGGGGATATTAATATAGGCGAACGAGAAGACAGCAGCATACACAACGCCATCTTAATGCATGATGATAACACGTTAACACTTCTCAACGTCACCTTTCTCGAATATCAAGACCAATGTGAGATGAAAATATGCAAATGGTCAACTACATGTGTTGGTGATAATATGGAAATTCTAGGAGGAAATTTTAGGAAATTCTCATTGGTTTCTGTACACTTCCACCCGAATTTATATGCAAGCTTGCATTATTAGTGAGAAAGCTCAGCTGAGGGAAGTGAACATATACTCCGACACTGATCAAGACTATCTTGACCAAGTGCCTCAAAAGTCTACATCCTAACACGATGTCGTAACAAGCGAAAAATTCCGGATTCGTGTATAATCGTTCGCTCACTTCGATAGGAGGTCCAATCCACTCATCATAGTAGCATACGAGGTAGTCCCAGCATTCACGATACCAAGACCGTCAGTGAGCAGCCACGCCACTGGGTACAGCGATAGTGTCACCACCGTCAAGTCGGCTATCAGACGGAACCTGCTCACCAACAACAACCATCTGAATTTCGTGGCGCGTGACGCTGACCCACCTCCCAGCGAGCTCTCTGTCACCATGACTTTTACTAATGTCTCTCAAACGACATCCGATATACCAAATGAGCGGTACCACACCAAAGCCCAAACTCGTCGTGTAGAGGGCAGTCTTGGCCCACCACGGTGAAGTCAGGAACAATGAACCTAACACGACAACAACAACCAATAGGAAAAAAAGTAAAAGGAAACTCCTACCAAATTCCCCACCAACCCATACAGTGTTGGCTATCAACGCTGGCACTATCGCCTTCACTCCTGCACCACTCATGAAGCCCGCATTGACGAGCATAAATGACGAACTAAATGAGACACTTCCAGATACAACAGGATGATTAAAATTTCCACATTCTTCTTACCACTACACATGGCCGTAGTCGCTACACCGAAGTGACAAAACCCGTCAGAAATCATCGAGGCTTCCTCATAAATGTTGTATACGCCTTCTCCTAGCTGCGATTAGACTCCCCAACTGCGTAAACTATATATTATCGCTCGCCTTAGTGTAGACGTAAATTCCTACTGTGATAGCACCGATTTGATATGCAAATGTGTGTTATTTTGTAGGACAAATGATAGTGAACAAGTTGTCGCTATCATCACAGTCCCAAACGGGTACTCTCATCATCACAACACATGTTCATAGCCATCGTTACACTGTATATGCGATATATTCCAACATCAATTCCAACCAATCTCGCCACATCTGCATATCAAATTGACACGCACTATATAGTCCTGAATACGCATAATACACTAGTAAGCTTATCAGCGTATAAGGCCTCGGCATACTACGCGAATATTCACCCAAGCAGTGAACGCCCATCGCTCACCTCACTATCCATTCTATGTACTTAGCAGGCACCAACGATACCATATGATGACCGATCAGAGTCGTACCACTCAACACAGGCGACAACGACACCAACTGAAGAGGGATAATTTCATGGCGCGTGACGCTGACGCCCCCACCCTGAGGCTACATGAGCTAGATACCCACATGCCGTAGTAGCAGTGACAGCAGCAGCCATGTAATACACCGGTCTGCCGCTCCCAACCGGTACGGATTTCCCACGTCGTATGAATCCGATGGACGCTGAGGAGAACACAAATTTCCAACGGCATTCCTTTAATGTTTATGAAACGCTTTACCAGTGTGGAGGAATGAAAATTCCAAGCGAATTTGGGAGAATTCTCATTGGTTTCTGTACACTTCTACCCGAATTCGTATATGAACTCCTATACTTCGTTCGGAAACTCAGGTGAGGAAAGCCAACATATATTCCAACACTGCGATTCACTCAACCATCCTTAACCCTCCGACGGCATTCTAGACGATATCAAAATTTAATATGGCTATCACTCTTATGGGTAGAGCAGTAAACTGAAGTTTCACCCGTTTCACATAAAATTGCGTCATTTTCTATGTGGGAAACGCGATATGAAGTGAATTGAAAATACTTCGCGAATTGCACCAGAATAAGTCACCCAATATCACGTAAAACACATCACGTGTTCACGCGTCATTTACTATTACATGCGTTTTTCGCAAAGTGAAATGTGAAATATGATTTCCGCTTATTGTTTTCATATCGCCCCTGAAATTCCACTGTGAGTGGACTACCGTGTTCTCAAGAGTATTCATCACTCTAACGAGAAGTATGCTATCCCAACCGGACACACCTTTGATCATTATGTATGCAGTCGCGGCCATTATGAAGTTGGGTACGGTCATCGATGCTGCTACCCACGACAATGCCGCACCCACAGTCGGCATGTTCATATACAGCGTTGATAAAGATGGGGAAATCGATGGTATCTACCGCGCGCGCCCGATTGATCGATTTACCAACAATACTGCCCACCATGAATGATGACGATTCCACCAACGATAGTGGTGCAGCAACTCCTGCTCCAACGAACTTCATGGTCGCCATGGGCACCGCCAATTTGATGGTGCAGGCCGACAGGAAAGCCGCCCCCAGCCACGCCCTCGCGCTCAGACTCTATACCATAAAACAGCAATACATGGAGTTCCACCAGCGATATAAGAAACACTAGTGAAACGCATACGCGGGGGTGAGTATTTCGCTCGCCCCGTAACCATTTCGAATATGACCGATTCGACTCAACATGCGATGTATCACGATAATAACTACATCTTGTTAAAGTTTCAGCTCGAAACCCTTATTTGTTAACGAGAAACACAGATTTTTTGAATTTGCCTTAGAAAAAAATACGCTCCTTATTTCACATTTCACTTCACGAAAAACGTATGTGAGCAGTGAATAACGCGAGAAACACGCCAGGGGTTTTTCACGTGCTATGCAAATCACTATTTCCATCACCGTCGCGTTTCTCACTGTTCTATAAGTTCAAAATGGTGCTAAATAGTAACCAGTTCCCGAATGCTCGTTCTCTCAGATGACAACCAGACTCACCTTAGGAATAGGAGGGGTATACACCTCCAATGCCCCTTCGTGGTTCTCCTTCATGTCAACGTCCTCCCAGATCATGAAACTTTGACTGTCGTGAGCATTCTGAAGAGA